CACACAGACAACCTCTCGTCAATATGCGTTTTCTGCATTGCGTAGCTGCAAAAAACGCATAAAAAGTAGAACGGAAGGATTTTTATGGCTTTTCAGGACATGCACATGTGATGTGTATCGTATCAGGTAGGCGCATTTTACAGCCCCTTGAGGTCATCTATATACCTCCTGCCTTGGCTACCCCCGCATTCTTCCTGTATATAAGCTCAGTTTTTATATACAGGAAGAATGCGGGGGTAGCCAAGGCAGGAGATATATAGATGACCTCAAGGGGCTGTAAAATGTCACTCCGGTCCACTCGGGCTGAGTGGGGGAGCGAGTTGTTTCTCCACTACTCTCAGTCCTCACTACCAAGGGGGAGGGGAAATGGGAAAATTTGTCACTTAGGAAGGGAGACGGGGGGAGGAGAAGACATTCCTACATCCACTAACCGCCGCCCACCCCTCCACGCGCTCCCACAACCGCGGCTGCCTGTCTACTATCTCGCCTCCCCATCAGCCAGGCCATACAGCCGCTGCGGGTTGGGTAACATTGCTCTGGTTTTCTTGCAAGCTCCCAAACGATCCCGGTGAGCGACGCCATGAAACACCGTTGTCAGAGATGACAGAGAACTTCCCAAACACGAATGACCACCAACGGAGCCGAGCCGAGTTGTAGTAGTTGCCGTTGTAGGTGGAGTGTGTAGCTAGCTATTAATTATATCTGTGAACATTTACAGGAACTCCATGTATGGATTATCGAAAGAAAAGGAAGCTTTTGCCAAAATATGGTTGTGACTGACGAAGTGCTATTACTCAGATCAGTCTCGAGTGCTTCCATAACCTTAAGCAGTGAAGTGCATGAGAACGGACGGAGGAAGGAGGGCTGGGTTCTAAATAGTAATCAGAAAAATTTGAAGTGGCAAATAGTTAGGATTGTCTGAAGGCTGATGACAGGGGGTGATGAAGCATTAATCAGGGCAGCTGGGAATGTTGTCAGATTCATAGTTGGAGAACAACGCTGTGACTTATAAACAGCTTCAAGTGTAAGTGGATCGAAGAATGTGGTGCATCCGAGTAACATCACTTACATGGAATCCTTACATCGATAATCCATGCGGTTGTCTTATTAGTAATTTTATTGTTGATAAAAGATTGCAGGTGAAACTGTATTCACTTTGTGATCATTTACAGCCCGATGCAAAAAGTAGCAGCACCGATATGTTCAATTTTGGCTTGTGGATGCATCAGCTCAGAATGCGAATGAATGTCTGGCGCGGACGATTACTCAAAGAAGTCTTGGAAAAGAAGTTCGTTTTTTGTGCACTTTTTTGCTGTATAGCGGCAGTACAAAACACATATTGTCACGGGGTTGTCTGTGTGTATGTGTCCGCAGCAACTTGTCCGCAACTTTCAACTCGGAAAACTTTGCCTCCTAAAAGTTTGGGCGGATAAAATTATCATCAGGGGAACCACAGAAGCTAGAAGGTTGAAATTTTGCGAACATGTCCCTGCCTACATGCAACCTAAAAAATTCAAATTCAGCTTCTCTTGCTTGTGGGTAACACGACGGCCTGGTGAAGATTTTGACGGGTATCTCGTGAGCCACAAAACCTACGAAGCTGAAATTCTAGGGTAATGATCCCTTGTCCATGTACGACCTTACAAACTCAAATGCAGCGTTCTCGCGCTTTCGAGTATCAGCTACGGCCCCGTGAAAATTTTCTCGAAAAAATTACCTCAAGAACCATAAAAGCCAAGGAACTGCAGTTCTGCGGTAGTACCGATGCGTGAAATTTCACGTGTCAGTATGTGAAATTTTTCAACGTTTCAACGATTTTTACATAGGCTGAAGTATAAAGCAGTGAAAATCATTGACAGGCAATCGTTTGGTGGACGAACTGCACAAAACGCATGATCACGCCGGCTAGTCTGATGCGCGTTGCTATTAATTGTCTCTCATTGTGAGTCCGCGAGACATTTTTGCATGTTTTCATTTTCAGGACTACTCCTTTTCCTTGTTATGAAACATCAGTTGATAATTATCGGTTATTGCGCGAAAAGAAAAATAAAGAAGGCGAAAAAGTGACACAGATTCGCGGCGGGCGTCATGTTGGTGGTCGAAATATATATTTTAGGGTAAAACGAGTTTGTTTCTCTCCTGCTTTGTTCGAAACGTTTTTGGGATCGCTTTTCTCTGAAATAGTACATTTCAGCGATGTGTGCCCAGTCACTTTCTTATGGAAGATCGTGATTATGCTCTATTCAGTACTTTTGAAGATGATTTTGAGCCGAAACCAACAGAAAGCCTGGAAAAAGAGGCTCTGCTAAGTAAGTTGGCATGAACTGTACAATAATGTTCATTTTGATGTAGTACGTGTCTTGTTCAAGAATAAAATGGTGATCAGAATGTCCAAAATTGCATATGTAGTGAGTTGGCTGACAGAAAGTGAAGGAAAGCGGTTTACAGCAAGAGAGCCAGGCATTGGTAAGGCGGATTTTCAGACTACCAGCTTGTCTTCGATGTGAAAAATGTTTCTCACTCCCAACTTTTTGTTGAGGGTTTTGCCATCACAGATATCAGTTGTGCTGTGCTTCGTATCAGTAATGTGCCAGGGTTATATGATTGGTCAAGTACCGTCACTTCTGCTGCTTTTTAACAAGAGTCACACGTAATCGTTCTCAGTAACAAGATTGCATGGAAATGATTACATTGAGAACATTATAAATTGTATGGTAACGACTGCACCTGGACGATTATGCATAATGAAAGATATATCACATGATAAAGGTTATATCAGAAGCACTGTATGACAACGACTATCACTTAGATGTAATCACTTTCCAGCTCCACTTCGCTATCAGGCTACCCGTAATGTTGAGTGGTATTATGAAACATTTGAACAAGGTGGTGCCTCGGAGGCCGTTTTGAAAAAAATCGATTCGTAAGTAATTTTTCTTGTTTTTGCGATTTTTGCGTCTTTTGAAAAAAGTCGTGATTGTAATCTTTTGTTGCTGCAGGTACAATGCTGAGGTTTTTTTCAAATCATTCAAATATCAAAGTATGGATTACGCCGTGCCGCAGATAATGGAAGATGATAGGGTGCGCAGACACGAAGTACGTTCAAATCTGCTTGACATTTATACATAACTAGTCGTCTGTTAACTCAGTTATTAACGCAGAATTGGACTCATCATTTGTGTTGCTGGCAACTTATGCAAGTGCTTTGACAAGTGCTGAATAGCCTAGTAAACTGCTAATGATTGTCTACTGGAGTTCTCGCCTGCCTAAGTTCTTCAAGCAGAGGGGTTTTTTT